TGGAAGAAGGCAAGCTTTTCATCCCTGAGCTGTGACACATTTGTTTGGTGGAGAGGGGAATTGCAACTGCAACTGGCGGTTGTTGGCTTCAGTTTTATTTATTTGACAATGACCAAAGAACACTACATTAGCCAATTATGGCATCAAGTACTCGTTTTAAACATAGCCACTAATTTTCACTTACATATTCTAAGAGAATCCCAACCATGGAATACAGATGTGTTTGGTGTCAATTCTAGCTTGTCCGTAATTGAAATAAACACCAGTTACAAGTAGCACTGATAAAATTACAGTAGCAGTAATCAAAATCAGGGTCATATTTCTCAAGAACTGCCCACAGCATAAAGAAGGCATCTCTGTAGCAAGCATTAATAAGCCCTAATTTAGGCAGCAATCTGATACCTACTTACCCAGGAGCAAGCCCCATTGAACACAAAAGGACTTCTTAGACATGAATGCTATTAGAGTTCTGTTATCGAGAAATGTATGTTTTTTTAATTGCTCTGAGTGGCTTTGTCATAAAACAGCAACTTACATTTCACAAAGGATCTGTTGAGCAGAGTATCAGCTTTGCCCAATGTCAGTGCAGTTTTGGTGATGAGCTGTCTGAGCTGCTTCATTCCTATACATTTGCAAATCAAAACAGCCAGGTTGGCAGATGAACCTAATTAGATTATGAATAGACCACGGGTTAAGAATGTTTCCTGCAAAAGCTGGACTGGCTTCTTGACTCTGCTTCAAGCCCCTGGTAGAATGAGCAGACACATTTAAAATGCCGGAAAATCTCTCATTTTATTGATTTTAGTAAAGGCATTTTCAGATGAGCACAGTGTATTTTACAATTGCCCCTTGCAGCCTCTATAGCTTCTAATGTGTCAGCTGAAAACTACTCATTAGTAAAACAGAGAAATTAAGAGTCTCATTTTATCATTGTACGGAATATTCTGCTCTGACTTCCAGGAGGGAACCTACTTGTAAACAGCAAAACATATGCACGATCACCTTTTCAGCTGTAGAAATACATTTCCTAGTTTGGCTGGGGGGGGGGGCAGAACATTATCAGATAATATTTTAAAGATTCTATCCCTAACAGTTCCCTTCACAGTAAAGACAAAGGCAAAAGAAAAAGGAAAAGGGTTAACACAAACAAAAATCACAAAGTATTGAAACAGAAGCAGGTTCATAACATAGTAAATAATTTTGTTTTGTTTTGTTTTTTACGATTTTTTTCCCATTAGGCCCTGGTTTGTATTTAAAGGGAACAGATAAAAGGAACACATCTAATAAGTGTAAAGAAAACCTATAGGATAACCTAAAACTATAGTTGATTTGCAGAAAAGGGTAACACAAATTTCTTTAGCATTTTTCATCTGTTAGTAAATCACAGAACTGTTGAGTTGGAAGGCACCCCAAAGGTCATCTAGTCCGACCCCTGCAATGCAGAAATCACAGATATATTATGAGTTTCGTGTTATTTGCAAATTTGATGAACACTCCCTCCATTCCTTCATCCAAGTCATTTAAAAAGATGCTGAACAACACCACGCCCAGGACAGAACCCTGTGGCACCCCAAGGTCACTTCTTCCAAGCATGACGAACAACTGTTGGTGAGCAATCTCTGAGTTTGGTCAGTCAACCAGCTACAAATCTACTTAACAGTAACATTGTCTAGCCCACATTTTAGCAGCTTCTCCACAAGAATATAATAGAAGACTTCACTGAATGCCTTACTGAAATCAAGATATGTTACATCCATGGCATTCCCCTGATCCACTAAGCTTGTAATTCTATCAGAAAAAGAAATAAGGCTATTCTGACATGACATGACTGATAAAGCCTGCAAGGAATTTTCTCTGCTTCGTTTCAGGTTCTTTTTTGGAGTTCGGCTGTGTACACTATCAGTTTAAAATGCAGCTAGGTCATTCTTTTTCTCAATTCAGATTGAAACTAGTTGGAGCAAAATGCATCACAAAAAATTAAAGGATAGACATGGATTGTTGCTAATATCCTGTGTACACTGCTTCCCAAACCAGGGGTGAGAAGGCACTGAATGCAGAGTAAATGGGACTGTATACACAGCCTTCCTTTTCTCTTTATCCACTCTGGTAGCTGATTTCTGAGAACATGAGGTTACAATAGCAAGCTAACCAAACTTTAGCCATAATGATCATAGAAGGTCCATAACAGACATTACTTTTAGATGTTCTGGTGAGACATCTATGGTTTCTTTTAATAGGATGATCAGCTGTGTGTGATAATCTCTCACCTGCTTTATAGTTTTATTCCTAATAGCACAACAGTAATATTTTCCTGTCTTAAAAAGACATTAATGATATACTGCTGAATGAAACTTATAAACAGAATAGACAAAACTCTGTGCTGGGAAAGCCTTCCAGATGTTGTTGGATTCTCATTTGCATGTCGAGACTCCACATCCACCCCCTCGTTGGATAATAACTCACACAAGGACACAGATATTAGGTTTATGTTATTGGGCAAATTTGGCCACAACTTTATTGAATTACAGAATGTGAGCAGTATTGGCTTAGGCATTGTTTGGACCCGACTATATCTGACTCCTGCCCGCTGCGCAGGAAGTCCGGTAAGGATAAACCCCCGGTAGGGGGAGCCCTGTCGATGCAAACCAACTCAAGCTCCCCCTTGTGTTCCCGTAGGGGTCGTGTCAAGGCCCTAGCCCCCGACCGGGCTTCGGACAAGATCAACACCCTCAGATTCCTTTAACGGAATACCCTTAAGAATGGAGGGGCAGGTGATGGCCAAGGTCACAAGGTCAAACAATGCCTAACCACCACAAGAGCCCAAAGGCTCGCCGCCAAATACCCTCACATCTGTAACCAATGCCTCAAGTCATCTGCGATATCGGCCAGCCATATATCATTCCCCCAATCGAAAAGGTGTATGCCATCGTCACGAAATAGGGCCATTTTACTGAAAGCAATGGAAGGGTGCGTGATCACCTAGCCATCCAATGCAACCACTTTCTGTGAAATGGAATGATTCAAACGTTTCCGGGCACGGTCTGTAGCGGCTGGGGAATTGCTGCCACACCAAACGCATCTCTCCAATAGCAGCGTCCAAAAGACAGCCAACATGACCAATACTCAGGGATGGTGAGAGTTGCATCCATCATCATTTGGAGGGCCACAGGTTTCCCACCTCTGTTCTAAATCCAAAAATGTGTGCTATTCTGAGAAATGTATTGTTTTAAAACGAATTCCAGTGCATGAGAGCTGGCAATGATCAGCAGCTCTTTAGGTATTTATTCAGTGTGACAGCTTCTCACTACTTTCTTTGAGGAAGACATGTGAGAGGGGCATCCAGCAGCGCTTGGAGATGAAGGGTAACTTCCCACTGGGCTCTGGTACTGAGATTTGTCTTTTTCAATTACAACACAGTTTTTTCTTGAAGATTTCTTTTTTCTTTCTTTTTTTAAGGGAATGCTGGCCATTTCTTAGTTATTTCATGAAGGACTTAGGTTCAAAGCACCATGGTGTTTTCATAAACTGTTCATATCAACATTTTTCTGTTTTGTTCCATGCACTGGATTGTATCAGTAGAAGCATCTTATACAAAATATGGCGAGACCTTTGCCAGATTTCAAATGACAACCTACTGGGGGTGGTTTGAGGGTCAAACTATAGATGAGATGCTTATCACACAATTAACAATTGCTTGATCGACTTTTTAAAAAAGTGAATTGCAAGCATGATCCTAATCCAGATCAGGAACCTAGTGTTGGGATAGAAGGCTTTAATCCACACACACACACACACACACACACACACACACACACCCCTCCGCTGTGGCCTTGATCAGCCCTCCCCTACCTGCAAAGCTCCTTTCGAAGCAAATTCTGGTTGGTAATGTAGCAAGGAAGGGTTAAAAATCTCCCTCCCCCAAAATAAATACAAACTCCCTAGCTCTCCTCTTTTGTCCCATTCTGAATGTAGGTCCTCACACCTGCAATTTACTTTTAAAATGCCAACCACATGATTGCTAATTGCTAGGCATCTCAACTAGTTTGGCCCTTAGACTGGAAATCCTCACATTGCCATGACTGGACATGACTTTGTTTCTTTGCCATCCTGTCATGTCAATCCAGCAGTCTTTTCTGAGTATGGAAGCTTCTATGCCTCACCAAGGCTGCCTGCCCCCACAAATGTCTTCTGCATTAATTTCATTTGATACAAGTATGCATGGAACACCCCCCCCCCTTATTATGCATGTAGAGCTAGTCGTTCCATCGACATTAAAGGGAACCTCATGCATACAGTATATGTTTCCAGGGAGCATATATGCGCACACCTTTGGATCTCTGATTAAGGAGCATGATCCATTTAGAGGACCTGTGCTGATGAAACTTGAAGTCATTGTTTATAATATTAACCCATAACACGTGGCTTGACCAAGTTATCTAAAGTGAGGCAACAGCAAACACAAGCAGAAAAAGCAGTTTCAAGACCAGGCAGACATACCAAGCCTTAATATCTCTTTTGTGCTTCTGACTCTGTTTTCCTTTCTTCTTTTGCCTAAAATTCTCTCTTAAAAGCCTCCCAATATGCTAGAGCACCTAACCTCAGTTTCAAACTGCAGAGAAATCTGTTATAGCCTCCCTCTGTTTGGTTTCCTTTAAAGAAAGACCTTTTATAAAGAAACTGGGGGGGGGATGGTTAGGGAAGGAAACCTACTATACAGGTATTTTAAGTCACGAAACTGGTTAAGAGGAAGAGAGCACATAAGCCAGGTGATTAGAATAAAAAAAAAAAAGCGCCATGTGGGTATTTTTTTTTTGGTTCTAAACAAATGTAGGGAGCATTTCTTTAAAGAACCCTCTTAATGCAGGCTCTCCCTTGCAGGATAAAATGGAATTAAAATATTGTCAATAAATTGTGTGTGTGAGAGAGACTGTATCAGCCTGTGCATTGATAGTCTGTGCATGCAGGATAAGAGCATTGACTGCCTGCTAATCTATTCCCAGATGGAGGTGGATGCAGACGAGAAGCGCCATCGCACACGGTCCAAAGGTGTTCGAGGTACGTCTCTTGCTTCAGTAAATCACTCAAGGCCCCTGCTCAGGGTGACCTTCATCCTCCAGAATCTCTTTGCATGATTCATTCTGACCCTTGCTTTTTTACACAGCCTTTTTTGGCAATTTTCAGCAGGAGAAGGGGGTACTTGTGATAGATGATAAATTTTTATATATTTTCCATCTCTCTGCAGTTCCCGTGGAACCAGCCATACAAGAGCTGTTCAGGTTAGTGCGCCGAGTGTAAAATGTATCCCCATTAGCAATTTAGAAAATTCATGCCTTTTAATGGTTATAATGCACTTTCAAGTTCATTGGTGGTTTGCTCATGCCCTGCTGCACTGATGAAATTAATTCCCCTGGGATTTGCTAATAAAAAGCATCCCCACCCACCCCTTTTTCCTTCAGTTATTTGATTTCTCTCTTTCTGTCTTTGTTGCCCTCCATCTCTGTAATACCTGCCGCCTGCTTTCAATATAATCTCTGTGCAGCACACTAACACCTATATAATTAATTCCTTCCTTTTTACAGCTGCCCTACTCCTGGCTGTGATGGCAGTGGTCATGTTAGTGGCAAATATGCAAGACACAGAAGGTAATGTGTGTGTGTGTGTGTGTGTGTGTGTGTACGCAAATAATGAAGCGATTTAGTAGGCAAGTTACCTGACACAATTCTGCTGATGACCTAGGCACAATCACTGGGGGTCTAATAGTGTACAGAATAATTCTTTTATTATTATTTGTGTTCCATTCTTTGCTTCTAATTGCAGTCTCACTTTCTCAGTGATTAACTTTTCTATATGCAAAACTGCATTGTAAAATGAAAATCTAACAAAAGGAAACAAGCACTGAGATATTGAGGTGTTCCTTCCTCACTTTCTATTCAAACTTACGTCCCGTTAGGTATATTAGTTACGGAGAGAAGTAAATCCCCAAATACAGAATGTGTAAATGCTGTTTTAGTGAAGACACTTTTTCATGAATACACATTTTCTGCTTATATTTTGTCAGGCAACGTATGCAGTTTTGTGGTTCATGCGAGGCAAATTAAAATGAGACCTTATTTACATTTATCCCCACCCCCACCTCCCCACCCTCACCCCTGGCTATTGTGATTTCCATAATTTAATATAGTTCCTAACTGGAATAAGAACTTAGATTTTTGAACACAAGGAGTTCAATGACGGGGATAGATTCAAAGGGACAATTCTAGGACAGATTAGTGATAATGAGTCTTTGAGATCCAGATGGTTATATTATTGCCATTAATACAGTAGCTAGGCCTTGTAGACTTTGATGAATGATAAAATTTCCAGTAACAACATGTTAGTTTAGTGTTGTTAATCCTTCGTTTCCATTGTTTGGACCTAATTCAATGGCCTTTACTTCAGATTGGTCTTTATGTTTCTGTGTTTAAAGTACAAGTTCATTGACATGTGGTTTCAAGGGATTCATATACATCTACTGCTCATCCGTTCCATATATCCAAAGACCAGCAGAGCATAACACAGAGGAGATCTGAGCCAAGCCATAACTAATATGAAAAGGGGAATAGGAACAGTGAGTTGTATTCAGCACAGTGCTAAGTAGCACTTCGCACAAGCCCAACAAGTTCTGCTTGAGCAATAGGACTTCAGCCCTGTCTCCTTCCCCTATATGCCTCCTAAATAGGTTCTGGGGGTTTCTCCAACTGTCCAGAGCAGATTTGGGGGTGGCAGGGTAACTTGTAATGGGAAAAGGGGGGGGGGAGTCCGGTTGAGCAAGTGGAAGTTATTGTGTTCATACATGTATTTAGTTGAATACCACAATATAAGGAAGCTGCCTTATTTTGAATCAGGCTATTGGTCTATTGAACTCAGCGCTGCCTACTGGCAGTGGCTTTCCAGGGCATAGCTGTCAACTTTTCCCTTTTCTTGCGAGGAATCCTATCCGGAATAAGGGAATTTCCCTTTTAAAAAAGGGAAAAGTTGACAGCTATGTTCCAGGATTTCAAACAGAAGTCTGTACCTGAAGATGTTGGGGATTGAAGTTTCTTCTACAGATGTTTTAACACTAAACTGTGGACTGCCCATCCATAGTAGTTCCACCCTAATGTCACAAGAAAAAGTACTTAGTTGATTGGTTTTCGAAGATGTCCACTTTGGCCTCAGTGCTTCCTTTCCTGAGTGTCAAACTCAGGCCACTGGAAGCCGCCATCACAATTCCCCCAAATATAATGGGGGACAATTGGACAGATGTGCACAGCCTAGTACAAGGCTTTGTGGATTTCACTACTTAGAAATTCTGACTATTAGGTGGTATATAAATACCTGAATTAAATAATAATAACGACGGACTTAAATATTGTATCCAAAGTGTTGTTTTGTTCTTTAGTTTATCAGCCATTTATTTTCTTCACAGTATAATATCCCAGTCCTAAGGCAGCAGTTTCAGAATTAGGGCCCTGGTGTGTTCTAGGGTTTGCTTTTACCATGAACTTATGAGAGATTCCACCAGACCAATTGAATCTTTGCCGACGGTGCAAGGAATCTAATCCACGCCTGGACACTTTTAGCAGCAACAGCAGTGGCATTGGTATACTGTATCTGATTCCCCATGTGGCACAGATTTGTGTTGGAAAAAATTGTGGGTGAATAAATGAGTGGGGCTCAAGCCTGCAGCATACGACTTATTTATTGGTCCTAGAATTTGATTGATGATTCCCAATGGTTTTTAAGGGCAAATAACGGTTTTGCAGCTCAGACTTAAGATGTGTCCATAAATGCTGTTCTCAAAAAGTGATCTGCAGACTACCAGGTGGTCTCCAGAGGCAAATTTGTAGAATAGTGTAGGGGTATGTGGGTGTGGGTGGGTGTAAGTGTGTGTGCAAAATGGGGAGAAAACGTTGGCTGCACTGTCATTCTTAAAATCCAGCCATCCTTCCGGAAGGTGAGCAGGACAGACCGGAAGTGATGAGAGAAGAAGAAATAAAGCCACAGCTTGCTGCAAGACAGAGGAAGGTCCCAAGTACAGAAAATAAATTCAGAAGGCACTTGAAAGGAGTGAACAGCTCATTAATATATTAGAATTATATATTAGCATCTGTATCAAACAAACACCCAAAACATGATGAATGTTTTTTTCTGAATGTAGATAGAGAAGAATCAGCAATAGTTTTACATGTCACGTTTTAAAATATATATCAGTCTAATCTACAGGGTTATTTCAAAGAGTTGAATAACTGACTTTATTAGCTTGCCAAAGGAAAATATGATTCTTTTGAGTTTTGATTTCAAGTTGTACCTTTTCTTCATTTTTTCATAATGCAAAATGCACTCCTTTCTCTCTAGCAAACTCCAGGATCAATCCAGTGCTTGAATTATATTAATATTAGGTTCTTATTAAGAATGGCATAATTAACAAATTAAGTTCAGTTTTATGCTTTAATTGAATTTAGATATAGTTTTCAAATATTTTAATTAATATATGTTTATGATACAGGGGAGGGGAGGAATTAGAGGGTATAAATGTTCATGTGTTTTAAGGATCCATGGCTGAAATTAGTTTCACTTTCAGATGCATTTTTCATTATTTTGCTTTCTTGACATGATCCTGCTATGTCAATACATGAACAGACTGGATTTTGAAGCTGTTAATTAAATGAAAATTTGAGGACATTTCACAAGACAATTTGGAAAAGTATCAAAAAAAAATTCTGGCTGTTAGTGGATTCTTAACACCCTAATTATCAGTTATGTCCATGGAACAGACCTCTTATTAATAGGACTGGAAAGGAAGCTTTCAGTTGACACTCGCTATCTAATTTTTTTAAAGAGTTTCCCCACCCCCTCCACATTGCAAATACATCTTTGTTTTGAATAGCATTGTGCGTTTGTGGAAGCAGGAAATGGTGTAATTTCTGATGAATGGAAACAATATTGCAGTTTTGCATTCAAAAGCATTTGTACCCAGATTTCCAGTATGCTCCACTTCTATTTTCCTGTGAAGGGACACCTCTTTATTACAGACATATGCCATTTGCTTACACTGTGCTCACGACTTTCAACTGGAAGGCAGTATTTGAACAGATAGGTGGTTTTTGGTTCATCCAGCAGGTTTAGTATCTGCAGTGTAGCTGGCTGAATTTCTTCAGTCCAAGATCAGCGTTAAAATAAAGACACTCACAGACATAGGGCAGACTGCTGCTATTGTGTCTGAATATGTAATGCTTTAATATTGGTGCGTTGACCATATTAAATTGAACTGAACATTACTGCTGCTTCTGCTTCTGAAACAGTTCCTTCTGTTCATGCCCATTCCAATTCCTTCAGTTCTCCAACCTTTACCCCAGTACCCAAAATACTGTGTGTCTGCATCCTCCAGCACATCTCATTGGATCGGGGCTTTGTAGATTGCTTTGTGCTTTGTCAGCAGCTCCTCTTCCTCAGCTTGCATGCTCCTTCCTTGTGCCTGAGAGAATGAACTGGGAAGCTTTATCTCATGCATGGAACCTGACACTTCTTCGTGATAATCTAACCCTGTGGCCTTCCAGAGGCTGTGGAGAACTCCCAACTCCAACCAGATCCAGCCAGCATGGCCATTGGTCAGGAATAGTGGGAGCTATGGTCTGACAACATCAGGAGGGGCCTCTGGTTTCCCACTCCTAATCTACAACTTGGTTTACCTGACAGGAAATGTGCCTTGGAGTTATGAGCTCCTTCCTTGCCCTCCTTCCTTCACCTACAAGAGGAGGAAAGAAGGGAAGAGCATCAGTTTTCGCCTAAGAACAAACCATAGTTACCCATTACACCACCCCAATCTCCATGCGCTGTGAGGTTCCACGAGGTAGCAGAGTTTGTGTTTCCTTTTGGACAGTGAGAACAACACAGACTTTATGATATATCGTTTATTTACACACATATGCAACCTGAGGCTAGATGGAGAGAGTACAGAGTATTCTCATCCCAAAAGGATCCTGTTTCTTCCATTGCTGCAACTTGAGATTCAAAGAGACCCCAAACAGCACGTCTGACCCTCTCTGCAGCACAAAACAGACAGCCCGCCTTCTGCCCTGGCCCCTCTCTCAAGTTTGTAAAACAGGCACTTGGTTCCTGTTCACTTACATCCTCCAAACCAAAATGCTACACCCTTTACACCCTTTTGTCTCTATCCACCAACACCCAGCTGGAGGAGGGGCCCTACCCTTCCTCATTTGGTATAGCCTTCACCTTCCTAATGGCTTTATTGATGGGTTAATGTCTCAGCCATTATTAGCTCTGTTCCTCCAATGACCCACACTCAGCTAGCTGTGCCAGAGGCCTGGCTCATTAACATAAACTGAATCCAGGAGCATTTGGCATAGTTTGATTAATCCCAACTTTGATTAAATCCAGGAATTATGGGGAAGACCTAGCCAACCAGGAGTTTAGGGGATCCTGCCCCCCCCCCGCCAACTTATAACAGTACAAACTCAGGGCACTTGCTTTTCTCCCAATCTCATGATTATGCTAGATCCTGTAATCATCCACTGATTGGTGGGGAGATTCAGGGCAGACAAAGAAAGCACTTATTTTTCACACATCACTTAGGAATTCGCTGCATCAAGATGTGGTGACA